AAACTAATTCAACTTTTACTGACCTGGAAAGACAAAAGAACGCAATATTCCTTACTTAATCTTTCCATTTTTAACGAGAATATCGGCAGCATACATATGTTCACCACCCATTATCTTTCCACCACGGATAAGAAGGTCACTGGTCACCTGAAATACAAATTTTCAAGGGCAAATGGCTATTTCAGCATTTCAGGCGCCCTATAGCCATATTCGACTTATTTAAACACTGGCCGTACTTAAAAATCTTAAACGAAAGCAACAATTGTGCTTCTTGAATAACTAAAGGTCTACTTGCTAATGTGGCACTGGATCTTAATTAAATTCAGGGAATTCGTGGCAGCATTCTACGTACATGTTTATTTGAGAAAGAATTGCAGTCATATATACTTAACCGTGCCATTAACTTAAATAAACCTTAGACACAAGCCTACGTTGGTTGTAAAGTGTTAGGAAACGTTCCGGTTTTTCTATAGCACAATTAAATTAACTCACTAAATCCAGTGTAATTTTGCAACGAACCTGTGGAGATGGCTCGGTGTTTTGCGAAACGACATTGGAAGGCAAAGATTCCTCAACTATACTTGGCTTCTCCGGGGGTTGACTGTCCGCTTCAGGCACTGGACCCTGATCACCGATACCGGGAGGTGTTTTGGAATCGTTAGGATCCGCAACGAAACCGAAGAGCCCACTTGAAGCTCCAGATGGCGGTGGACGCCTTTTCTCGCCGTTTTCATGTAAACCGGGAATTATTCCAGGGCGGCCCCAATCTGCTTTACTCATGTCTTAAATTTCTACGTCAAATTAAACCCAAGTTTAGCGAACGTCTGATCGTTAAAGAGGTGGGTAAATCAATAATTCAAAATATTTTTAATTCACGAGCTAAATTAATCAATCCAGGTATTGAATATTCAATTTGCAAAACCGTGATTTTGATTTGTCAATTGATGGATAAATGCAATTACATTAAAAGGGTAATCTGTCGAATATACGACTGCAAACTCGGATTTTTGAGATGCTGTTTAGGCAATTGATTTTTTTCTTTTAAATTCGTGTTCCTGACGTAATGTTTTCGGTCGAGAAACTCCTCGTATTTGTTCAACTGCACTTTATTACCCATGCTTTTTTTCGCGAAAGTCTTAACGGATAAAACCTAGAGCAAATCAACTTTGTACGAGTGCCAAATTATTTGCGAAAACCCGCGTTTCACCACGGCAGCCATTCCACGAGCAGCGAAGGCCTAGTCTTTCAAAAAAAATTGGGGAAACACGCTTTGGTTTTCGGATGTAATGAAGGCTCAAACCAACTAGACAAATTGCTCCATCTTGTATGAACTTGCACTAGATTTTTTCTTAAGTCAATTGGCCATAAGTGGGATTCACCACGCATGTACGGTTACCAGAGATATGCCAACTGACGAAGGGTGCAAACAACGTGTCACTCCATCCCACAAACCCGAATTCGCACTTGGTTAGTTCCAGCGTTTAGCCATAATGCCAACTTAACCTCAGATGTGGACTGCTATCAACAATAAAACATAGGTATTGATCGACGTGACAGTCGTCCACCACTACATATTTGGACTAACTATGAATGCTAGATCCCTACAACATATAGCCCACACGCAGGTAAAAAAATTAGGAGCCAAAGGTCGCGTGGCTTTATTATACAAACATTCTAGATTTATACAAAATAGGTAAATACAGTCACCCAATACACTGTACACAGAACGGAGACCGTCAAAATGTTCTTGCTTGAAACTACTAAGTAGTTTCTTCAGAGACCCCCGAAGAAATAATCTGGGAAGCCTTTTCGACTCCTCTAGGAAACGCACTTGAAATCGACGCGAGAATATCATCAATCTGAGGCATTGTGAAACGGGTATCCAGTTCGGGAATCATCTAAATGGTGAACAATTAGCACTGATAAGAGATTTAAAAAAAGGAGCACTAGGAACTTGAAAAGTCGTTATTGTATCCAGCAAATAATGACTGAGTTATAAGCTCTTGTACAAACTATTAAAAACTGTGATCCTAAATAATCGTCGGTTGGTAATCACTCAATAAGTCCACCAGCCCTTTAATAAGTGGCCATCTTGGAGAACCGGCTACAGTGCCAGAGAGAACAATGCTCAGAATTTGCATAAATTCCAAGGACCGCATCTCAAATCTTATGAACCTGGAGAGGAGCCACAAAATAGAATTGCGTAGCTTATTCGCATAAGCGCTTTATTTTAAGCAGTATGAGCAAGATTGGGTGCGGTTAGTGTAAGGTACCTAGGCTACAAAAAAACACTTAAACCTACAGTAACCATGATGGAGGAAAACCTCCCTACATTACTTCGACACAAAAACAACCAGGCACAATGGTAAAAGGTCCCGTGGACCAGAGCCCCTCAAAACCTGTGAATCAACAAAATAATTTGGAGTCATGAACCGTAACGTGATATGCAGACAATTTTTCTTAAACAAGACAGAATTTTTATTCTGGAAAAGGAACTGGGGTTGGATCTGGTTTACTCGATATCCAGATATCAACAAGCTGCAGGACTTTAAGAAGAACAGTATTTGTGGCTTATATTTGCGCATTGGTATTGAAAAGGAATGAGGCATGATACTCTGAAATTGAGATTACATTTGGATCATTCCGAAAACCCACAATATTGGGAACCTACGGTGTAGTGGCATGATCAACAGTTCGAAATAGGTCTAGCAACATCCCTCCAAAGATTTCGTGTAATGGAATTTTGGCTACTAGGATTAAGCAACAATAGTGCACCAAACTAGGGGAAATAATGGCTTTTCTTTTTAGAATATTCATGATTTTGAGAATAAGGTTAAAAAAGACAGGAGTCCGAATTTTGTACAAAATGTATCACCTAACGCTAACAAAGTGGAGACTTACAACAGAAAGTTCAACTTGACTCGTCGGACAGTTATTAATCAAAGCAAGCGATTCGGATTTTGTTAAATCAAACCGCTTCATGGACGAAATAAATGAGGCAATTTCATCGGATGTCTGACATGTACACGGTGATCTTTCATTAAAATACTTCAACCCAGTGTAAAGGAGAGTTTGTTGTGCACGAACTTTATCTTTGGATTCCATACGAGTTTTCATGAACTCATATACTTCGAAATTTGTAAGGGGTCGCGGATCAACCGAGGGAGTATCCATCGTTGTGTTGAGACGTCTGAGGGCGCAAAGATATTGGACCACGCTGGCCTAAGCCAATCTTCTGTCTCTCTGCGATCCAATGGCATGCCAGAAAAATAGGCGCCCAACCAGAGAAAGATACGAATGGGGAGCAGAATATAGTGAGCGTGGAGGACTCAGATGGACGGCGCCTGACATGTAGTTCTGGCCTGTGATTATTCAGTGAAGCCTGTTCTGTTGTACCAGTTTTCTTCATATTAAGACCCGGGTATTCTACAGTTGTGAATGAGAGGGCGCAACCATATTGCGGCACATATGTAACAGCAGATCTTCAACCAGTGTGATTTAATAGACTTTGTCAGTGATTAGTAGCCAATCCCTGGCAGTGATGCGAAATTAGCACCAATATTTTGATGGAGTTAACAAGGAGGACCCGGTTGAACAGCAGTTTACGACGGTTCTAAACTGCGGTATGCCAAGCAATCCTGCATTTTGCACTTATATCCTTCTTGCTCAAGTTTTAATGTTATAGAAAATGTCTGTTTATTCAGATCTAAAGACCATTGTGCATTATAAAGAGGAAACCAGACGCAAGGTTAAGTAAAAACACCTAGTTTTATATATACTGTGGTAGGGAGATTAACAGCCGAATAACAATAATTAATTGAAGGGGAATTTCAACATTTCGCAAAACATATTTTTTAATTCAGAACAAAATGTTAGCTTCCCACGTAGCAAGGCCAAAAAAATATTTAGGCAAAAAGTTATGTATGAAGCAAAAAATGAACAATAAAATAATATCGTTAACAAATTAATTGAATGTTTTCAAATTTATTTTGGGGTAAATTTATCAGGAACATACTACTAGACAGTAACTTTGAAAAATTAGGTTTAATGAACAAACCTATAACTTTTAAACACTAGTCTTGGATAAAATTAATTAAAAATCGTTGAATGCTTCTTGAAATATGATTAGACTGACGACATTTGGAACTCTGAAGTGCACGGCTTACTCAGAATAGATTTTACATTGAAAACTTGTTTCCAAAAAAAATATTTTATATTTGTGGTAACTTTAACATGTAATCCTTAATATTAAGATAACATTATTAGCAGTCTCCGGCACCATCAATTGTTTCGTTAGGTTTGATGTACTCTTCTCTCTGGTTGGCTGCCTGCTTTTGAATGACAGCCATTCACGTCCGCTTAAGATAGAGGATTAGCGGATTTTGAAGTAATTCAATATGTCTGCTCCTCCTATTAGAAAAATCAGAATATTTATCTAAAAGGTTGTGTAGCGTGCCATGGTTGTGTCATAGGATTAAGGTGATACATCCTTACGATTAGTTGGGATATAATCAACCCAGTTATATTTTCATACTTTACACTTTCTGTTAAATTCTAATCTTTGTCTTGAAAAAGTATCGGATTTTATTGACGCCTCCATCTTTCCGCATTCTACTTCGAAATAAAACTTGTAATCCGGTTGCTTGTTACCTGTAGTTTATCAAATGCGGATGATTCAGGAAGCTCTTTTATCAGAAGTTTTCTGTGTAAAAGGCATGAGATGAGTCATCTTTTTACCGTTACTTTACCCAATAAAATCCTAAATGAAGGGCGTTCGAGCATTTTTTCAGTGAGAAATATCGTAATTATTCAAGGGGCTTACGTGTATTTTGTTAATAATACTAGTCCTGCGGTTTCTTCAAGCAAGCTTCTGGTTTTTTTGATCAGTGTCCCGAACTGTGACCTTCACACATTTGGGCAACTTAATTATTATTCCTTTTGGGGCTCGACCCGTCGCCAAGAAACCAGAGAAGGATGAGAGTACAGAATGCCATGGGGTCCCTCCCGTTAAGTAAATCACTGAATCTAGGTGTCCTTGGTTGTTTCCAATTACTCCTAATCATTGGCCAAAATCATAAACTGCTTTGATTGTTCTTTTAACATAAGTCATTACGGAGGTTTGGTCAGTCATGCAGGGATAGTCCACGAAAGACATTAGAGTTAATGGGGTAATGCAAAGTGGTCCGAGCGGGAGTCTGTTACAGAGCTTGGGGGCCGGTTATGCGTGGATTGTGATGGCCGTTGTAAATTAACTAGTTTCGCTAGCGAAACCACCTTCTAGACCGCTTTTATTCTCATCTTTTTGTCATTAAAAACTCATAATCAACGTTTCTGTTTAATGTGGGTAATTAGATTACTGTCACTTACTTCCGTCCGTTTAGGTACTACTATGTCCGAGCAAAGCGCAATGCCAGATATAAAGGCGGAACTTGTGGAACTTATGCGGCAGAAGCGTTCCCTTATTGCAAGTTCACTAATTAATGAACGTGTTAATGATTTGTTTGTACACGATTGTCGAAAATCTGCAGAATTGTATGCACAGTTGATATGTTGATGTTCTGTTCTGCGTCCTTTATTTTTACTTGTCATAATAGTATGCGTGCTTATAAAGAAATCAGTGTTGCCTCGAGTAATGTTCCGGAACTGACTGAGCTCATATTCGTTGCACTTGAGGAATCTTCTAGTTGTAATCATTTGAATCGTTGTCCAACAAAGCTGAAACCTGTCCGCGTATTCACTTATTTTATTTTCTAGGTTAATGAACTTTGCGTGAAATTCTCTTAATTATGTATACTGTGCCTGAAGCTGTGATGCAGTAGCCTAGTTTGACAAATACTCAAGTGTGATCCTCTGGCAAAATAAAGCTTCTTGCGCATAATGCCGTATTTGCTGTCTGTCGAATTAAAACATATAAAGCGCAACTCTTTTCTTAGGAGAACCTGACTAATCTTGAGCGTCAAATTTATCTGTTCGAGGGTAGTTATCTGGATGATACTGCTCCCTATGGAAATATAATAAAGGGTTGGGATCGGTATTTGCTCACATCGTCCTCAGGAAGTGCCTTCAGCGCCGCTGCTGGAGCTAACGGCACTGGAGACAAGAGGGTTCGCAAATTTCGAGATTCAGACCGTCTATTTTCCCGATCTTCTGTAACCTCAATGGTCTCTTCTGTCAACACCCATTCCTATTGCGAATCTGACAAGAGTGAGTTTGCAAGTCCGGTCAATATTTCATTGGGAAAAAACTGTTGTCCGGCTTTTCTACGTTCGCTCTTATCTGGGCGTCCAGTAGATTTCAGTGCCTAGTTGTCATGTACATAGTCTTCATTTGACATGTTTCTCAGCAACCGGCAATAAGTCACTTTTTAATAATGTATTTCTCCTTAGTCCATTACTTCTTACAAGCTGGTCCTTTCTGTTTAAAGTGGAGTCGAAGTTGTCGGTTTTCCTTCTAGATTTCCTCTAGTTCATTAATTTCTTCTCGCTTTCCATTTGTACTTTGATACACCACACCGGCAAGGTTATACACTTGGAATGCAATGGAAATAGCCGTCAATCTCATTTCCTGTTATTATTATATCCTCCCAATTCTTTGGTTGTCTAGAATTTCTCTGTTGTGCGTCACGATACTTGATTGTCCTTCAACTCGTTTGACATCCATTGGATCCACTGTTGCTTGACAATTATAATGTGCGACGTCTCAAACACCGCCTGGTTTAAGCCTTTTTAGTTTTGGGATTGTGTTGCGTCTTTAGGTAGCCATAGCTTACGAACTGTCTAGCTATAGTGTCTTGTTTTATATAAATCATCAGCTTTATTGGATTGTAGATGACACCTCAATTCCTAATGAAACGTTTGTTGACAGTCAACGCTTTGAGGATAATCTCGGTGAAAACGACTCAAAAGTTTATTCAGGTGGACCAAGCGGCAAAAAGAAGAGGAGACATCGTTAACTCAAACTAACAATTACTCCATGGTTGTTTATATGTACATAATCGGTTAAAATAAAAACGTACTTCACCACTTGCTCCTTCCTGCAATCTTGCCCTAAACAGCGCTGTCCCACGTTAATAGGTTGAACGCCTCCGACATCTACTCCAACTCGTTTTTATTTGGCTTGCGCTGGATGGCATTTACCAACTAAATTTGTTTGTTACGTCAGGGCACTCAGTCCCAGTATTCTAGTCTGTGGGTGCTACGCTTGGCGCCAAGGTTGCCGCGTTTTGCACGTGTCGCTAAGGAGATGCTCGTCCACATCACGCTGTCCAAAGTCTATCAGTCGTCGATAGACTACGTATATGGTAGCCAGCCAAACACCAACCCACGAACATCGAGACCCATTCCTATTTTGGTTTTTCCAATCCTGTGCAAGAAATAGCGTACTGGAGGTCCACATCAGTCAGATTGCCGCTCCTGTCTTCGGGAATACTACGTGAAGAATAGAGGCCATGGGGTGAACCAACGCCAGACACCAACCGCCGTTGCACCAATGCATTGATGGAGCCTGCGTTATCCCCTAGGCATTTCGGTCGATTCGTATGCAGAGTGGGACGGCGGCACCGCACGCACTCTGGTCCACTTAAATCCCCAGCAACCAGATGTATACCCACACGACTCAAAAAACGAAAGGTTTCATTACAAAACTATCTTAATGACAAGTGGATCATTTGTACAATCTGAAATCCGATTCGAAGGTCTGGGTCCCGAAGTACGTGGTTCCTTCCGTCAGGAGGAGAGTCGCTGCCACTAAAGGGGGTTTTAAATCGTTGAGTACAAGGCAATTTGAACAAATATGTAGACACATCAAGCACCTCAAGGATTAAGTCAAGAAACTGAGGCAGAAAATCAAAGCAGCGATGAGAGTTTGTAGTTTGTGTAGTCTTGACACCAGTGGTTTATTTCTTCACGGCTTTTTCGAGCCCCACGAAAAGCACACCCAGGTAAGTTAACTCCACTGGCAAACCTGACAAAGACCGAAGTCCAGATGTCGTATGACCTGAGAATCTGACTCCGCAGGGAGCGCATAGCGACCAAAATGTAGTTTCCCCATCTAATGGATTTCTATACAATTTTAGAGCGAGGAGACTAGATAGCATCGATGCGAGCACGAAAAACCGACCTATATTTAGATTTCCTATTGTGAGACTTCACAAAAAACCCCTTAGAGTGGTTGGCATGTATATATATATGAAGATAGCATGGCATTGTTTAAAAATGGTCACAAATGGGATATAAGAAAAGCGGGAGTACGATTACAGACAACAGTGGGGCGAAAAAGAAACGTGTGAAACGCAGAAAGCGTACTAAATGCGTTTTAACTTTAATATGGAGTGGTACGCATGCTACGGCCTGCATTCACAGCACTGCCACGCATGGGTCCACCACCCCTTCCGCCACGCATAGACATTCCACCACCACGACCTCCATTTAGTGGGGGAGGTGCGCCACCTCTGACACCCGGCGGCGGTGGCATCATTGGACCTCCACGATGATGCGGTAATGGTGGTGGCCCACCAGGGCCCATCATTGGCCCGCCGTTGGCCGCTGTAACTCCGGGGTGCTGGTGTGGTGGAAAAGGAGGACCACGTTGAGGAGGCCCAGTCATCATCACCATACCGTCGTCCGGATGTGGCGCCTGCAACATATACACATACAGAGTGCACCTTATATCTTCACCCAGAATTGACTTTTGTAAACGCATTAACTTAATCCGATTTAGAATGCCCGACAATCAAAAGGAGTAACGTGAACCTGCGTTTACCTTCATGCACAAATTGACGAATAGCACCTTAAAACAAAACGTAAATGCTGACAGGACAGGAGTTATTTAGTGCATGTTTCTGACGCAAGCGAATTAGTGGCAAAAATAGCGGACGATGGCGCCTACGCTAGCAAGGCCAAATTCGAGCGTTTGTTGCTTCATTAATTCTATGCACACACGACTCAACAGGCAACCACGATCCGGACGCAGTAATGGAAAATAGATGCGCACTAAGCGAACAGAACTCATATCCCTTCAGTTGCTTTATTTGTAAAAAAAAGCGTTTGGATAAGCGAAAAAAATGCAGCATTCACCGAGCATAATCGCATTCACTTACGCCACAGTGTTTGCATTGGTCACGACCCGCAAAACTCGGCCGTCCGCACGACGTACAACGCCATTCGCCGGTCCTGTTGACTCCCGGGCCACCACCGCCTCGCATAAGAGGTCTGCCACTTCCACCACGAGGCGCACCTTGTGGTGGCATGGGACCGTCTCCACGTGGATCAAACTGCCCTCCGTACATTTCTGCTCCAGCCGACCGGTCTGGGCCAACAGCCCCACCGAACGCACCCATTGTTGCTGTTACAGTAGGGTTATTGTTCATCAGTGGGACGGAACTACTTCCGGCTCCCACAGCTGTTGGGTTCAAACCGGCTCCACGACTAGCGACGGCGGTGGGATTACCGCCAGCCATCATGTTGTTGTGTTGTTGATTACTACCACCACCACCACTTGGAATGATGACTGGCCGCTGACTGTTCTTAGCTTGCCGTACTTCAATCATTTTACCAAGGAACTCGTTTTCTACAAGTAAAAAGGTAAATTTCCAGTATACTTATGATTAATGTTCAAAGCACGAATGACCTCCGACAGCTGCCAAAACAAATCACGGTACTGGCTTACTCAAAAACGTGCCTGCAACAGGTGTGTCATATGCACGCCTGTTAGGGTACACGGATACACGGATACAACATTCGGAAATACTACCAAAAGTCGCACATCGAACACAAAATATCAGTGTCGGTTGAAATACCAAGGTGGCACTGATTTTTCATCCGTCAATGAAGTTCATTGCAAATGCTTACCAGAAAACCATTTAATTGCTTTCTGTACACAAAGAGGATCGTCGAATGTTACGAGAGCATCGCCTTTTGGGACGCCTCGTTCTTTAAAAATCCATATCATCGGCATGCCAGTTTTGACGTTCACCTACAAATTAATACCGGGTAAATGAGTCCACGCCCGTTACCTTTATTTTCCCAATTGTTCCAAATTGAGACTTCATCACTTCGTGGTCGATATTTTGAGGAAGTTTGCTTACGTACACAGTGTCTTCGCGAAGACCCTCAGCTAAAGGAAATTAGTGATTCGTCAGACTTACGATTAGTAACGCTGGGTAGATTACTTGACCGGTTCCCTACAAGGCAGCAAAAATGATAAACTTAGGACACGAAGAACTGATGAAAAAGACAGGAAGACCCTACAAAATATAGTATGTATAAAATGTAATTCTCTTAGGGAGGTGCTCCCACTCACCATTCTCATATTTGTTCATGCCACCTCTTTGGCTGAAAAGATACTACATGTTGAAATCCAAAAAAGAACATGCAATCGCATAACGAAAATGGAAAAAAAGAGGCCACGCATTGAGGGGTAGATTTTGTTCATTCTGGAATAAAGTTAGTGAAAAAAGCAAAAACTCACATATGATACCCACAAAACTTGATAAGCATGGCACAGACCACAATCGTAAAGTATGAGGACAATACGCATACGTCTAGGTAAAGGAGACCATCCAATACAAAACGCTATTCTTTAGACGAAAACGGATGAGGAAAAGTTGTAAAACTGGAAAACGGTGCAGCGCACACGGGAAAACGGATACACTCGATCCTAAACATTACAGGAACTTACTTCAAACCAAATCCCTTTCCAGAAAAACCCCCAAGGCCTCGGCCTATGCCGCCCGTGGGATCTTGTAAAAATGCTGCCGCATTGAACCCTGGAAATGTAATCGCATTAGTTTACTCTCCGCCTGAATTACCAGCTAAGCTTTGCTCATGGGCAATAGCTTCGTAAATATTTCGAGCCGCTGATTGATTGATCGCATTGGGGAGCAACTGATTGAATTGTTGCATATCTAATTAAATGAATCTCATGAAATCGCACACATACCATTTATCGAAGCCGGCATGCCACTATTAGTACCAGCATTATAAGGGTTAAACTGTGAATAATCGCCGTAAGGAAAGCCAGTTCCAAGGCCGGCAGCATTTAACTGGGCACCTAGTTGTTGGACAGGCATACTAGTTGCACCCTGGGGGTAGGGGTTTTGGCTGAACGACGGTCCTCCAAACATTGCAGCAGCAGGGTTGCCTTGTGTAAGGGCATAGCCTTGTAAAAAATGTGCATTTTGATCGCCGCCTGGGTTTGGGTATTGGGCAAAAGGCGGATACCCGGGTGCCTGAGCCGGCTGTGGTAAGCCAGCGTACTGGTATTCTAAAAAAGAGAACAATGTCATCCCACGAGGCCTCATGAGAACATTTGAACAACAACCAATAAATTTAGTTCGGTACTTTATCAGGGTTATGCTTAACTGTCATTGTAAGTAACACTCAACGATAAAAGACTAGAAAGTTGGTGTCCAAACGGTCTAGTAGCATGACAAAAAGTGTTCCGTGACGTGAGCATTCATGAAAGTAGAGCCTTTTTCCTTAAGAAGGCCAAAATCTGCAACTACTTTAAGAACTGAGCCTATGGTACACTAAAAATTCACAGATCAAGACAATAACGCTATAAATAGGAAAAGGTCGTTAAGGAGGTCGACTAAGCAAAAGAAGGTCCATACAGTTTGAAGAACACAATTTAGCGAAAAAACACTTTCGGAAGGAAAAATACTTCATATTAAACGAAGGCGTGCCAATATAAACCAAACAACAACTCACGATCTGCCATATTGCTCCTAAGGTGGCGTGTTTGTGGTTAACTTAAACAAATTAATGATATTGACGGTTCACACCGTGCGACTCTGATTCCAGGATTTCGCACTCAAATTTATGGTGTAATGCAATTAACGAAATGCCACTGAATTTATTTAAATAGTCAACAAAAATGTGATAAAATTATCGAGCCTCACAATACCACGAACTTTTCGCGCTAAATTCACCACATGTTCTGCTCTACCTTCATTCCTAGTTGGACTACTTATTGATTCATCTCCTATTTCAATGGACATTTCTGAATATTTTAGATTCACATCAAATAGTGCTTTCAGACAGAAACTAACATCTTGTTTTTACTGCTTCTCTGGGTATTAATTTGTATTAAAGTTTCTTCTGACTTGCTTGAAATGGGAAGATTAAGCCGAATACAATAGGACTTTCCGTGTTTGGATAACTCACATACTTTATGCAGACGAAAAGAATGCGGCCTTCTAGCAATTTTTCTAAAATTTCATTAAAAACCATTACTTTTTGATTCTAAATAAAAAAACGAAGGAAAAACCTTTATAAAACACTTGTGTGATTATTATTGTGGTGTTACACATTCATTAGCTGATTGCACATGAATATTTTGAAGTGACGTTGCCGTGCCCCCAAGTTCAGCTTTTGAGTTTTCCTAAACGTATTTAATGTGTAAACCCTACAATTCTTGGAAGAACTGACCGAAATTTTTTAACATGAGCTTAAAATAGCATACTTCAACTGGTTAGAAGAACATTTTATGATTTTTTTGGAAGAAAATTAGTTTATATTGAAGAAAAAGCCATCATAGCTACTACACATATATACAATTCCGATTTCCTTGCACAGGCTTGAAAATGTTTCATTTTTTTTAAAAAGCAACGTTCAAACTTTGGAGGTAATTTTAACATTTGATAATTGTGAAGAGTTCTTTCTAGATACGAATAGTCAAATTCAAGAATTTAAGTTTTTCATAGGAATGTGAGCTGGACTTCTAGTCATGAGTTAATTTGTTCAGGATCAGTGTACACCTGCGAAAACGAATATGTCAAGTTCGGATTTATATGGATGCCACCCGCTAATAGCACTCATTCATTTAAATTTTATGTCTTATCCAATGATCACCAGGCAAATAATTCCGCATACGACACTATGCAAAACCGCATAAAATTGCCACGCTCCGATTTCTTATCTGTCAATTTTCTAACCAGTTCTAAAATGGACTCTTCAGCATATAATACCGTACTACAACGGTATGGCGTTTTGCGTAGAAAGTATTTCTTTTTTTTCTGAGATATCCTCTTAAGTTCGCATTATTTTCCATGATAAATCCACTAACAATTACTAATGGAGACGAAAGCATTCATCTGACGTTTGCGAATGAAAATATAAAAGTCTTAAATGTCAATATAGCAAAATGGACCAAAAAACCTAAAGAAACACCATCATTCACCACTGATGTTAAAACCAGGTCTTACTCAGTTACTAAACCACATCAGTAGTCTCTTCAGTATGTTTTTACTGTTTGATATGTCATGTGACGTGATAGTTTTTACTTGAAGAAACAAACATATGTGTCTTCCTAACTTGCTAAACTGCCTTTTTGCATTGACAAAGCTAAATGAACATATTTGGTTTATAGATATGCAGTTATAATATGTAGTTTTAGTAAGTACGCAGTGTTGTTTGTGTGTAATTGACTGAAAGGTAAACTTGAAAAATTGTCGATAGGTGCCAGATGTTAAAACATAATTAAGCATTTTACTATTCATCTCGTTCAAGTCCCCCGCACTTTGTTTAAGTAATCAGCATCTAGCTGCCGGTGAATGGTTCCAATCGTCAAAATGCCCTTAATTAAGAGATCATTAAGCAATATGCAAACAAATCCAATGGTAGTAAGCACCACAAAAAAGACCGAAGATACGTCCAGAAATTACCTCAATTATCAAATAGATGTTTGCGCCTTCTCCCTGATAGCACACTTATCTATGGCTATTAGTGGTTCAAGTGCAAACACAATGCCTATCAATGGCTAAAATCTAATAATTTCACTTAGAACCGGAGATCAACTAGGTATTGCATCATAGAAGATTATAGCAAATAGAAATGTACGCGTTGGGTCCAGTCAACTTTATTTGTAACTAAGAAGTCCAGAATAAGGGTCCGGTGAAATCTGACCCAAATTTAGCCCTATTGATGGTGTCTCGGCAAAAGCCAATTTTGACTCCAAACTGCTTTACGAAAATGTGGTCTTTACCTAGGATTTAATGTCACGGTGGTCTAAAAAAGGAATGGTAAAAACCATCGAAACTTACATTATGTAATCTTATACCCCTTATTCTGTCTTAAGAAATTATGGAAGGTTAGAGATTAGTGGCAACTGACGATCTCAAGAAGAGCTAGATACGACACAAAGCTAAGTCATCGCGGCCGGTCATTTTCAAAATAACACACTTTCACTTTCAGCGAGCTTTGTATGATTTCTTCCATACCAAATTCACACGAAATTGCAAAATAACATGCACATTTTAGTCCTCACTCATATTAAATTCTATTTCAGGTTGCACCAAGCTCTAGTTTGAATTTGCTTACCTACGAGTGGTGCACAAAAATTAATTGACAACTGTGTATTCTTTATCTGTATATGTGTTGAATACGGGTGCTGTATGATGTTAATTTCTATTAGGTTTATTATGTCAGATAAATTGTACACGATGTCTCCCGTCCAAAATCGTCTAAAATTCCCTGTCAAATCAACGAGGCTATGCATTTGCACAGTTATTCGCTCTGTTATAACTCATGGTGAATTCCAAGGTTAAACTCGTTTTTGAACATTAGTGTTCGTAGAAATACGTTTGTTAGAACCCGATACTCTTCAGCAAGTTCGAGTATAACCTGGTAAACTTATCAAATGCTGCAGTAAATGAACTCAGCTGGGATCTGAAATTGCACCACACGTTATTAGGTAGCATTATTCAGACGTTGGGTGTCGAATGACAGTTCGACTAGTACAACGTACTTGCTCCAGTTGGGCAAACTAAATGCCTTAGGCGCTATAATACATTTTACGTGCGCCAATGCAGAGGCAGGATTTAACGCTGCGAGTAAATTTATGCAAAAAGGGATCCGACAAATTTAACGGGAGACCAGCATTTTCACGAAGTGCCTGATTGGTCACATCAAAAGGCCAATGATATTCCCAGTCCAGATCAATATAGGCTAGCAGATACGAGTCTGTGAAGTTAATCTGACGCGTGTATACTAAATTCGTGTGTAGATCCAGAGAGGAACGTGAAGAGGCGGTCAATTTCACTGCAGTTCAAATGGACTAGCATTGAAAGCAGACAAGGGGGAATTCCTCGCCTTTACGACCTTTTGAAATGCGTGAAGGAAAGTGCTGACATCGCCGATTTCATGTTTCGTGAAACGTATATAAACTCACAGTACAAGCATGCAAGACGTTCACTTTTTCTTCTATGTCCTTTGCAAAAGAGGCCATTATGCTGAACATATTAAACTTTAACTCTTATAACACGAACAAATGTGATCTGCTGTTCAAGAGCTGAGATTGAACCATGATGATTAATCAGTCACCGCATGCTTCAAAATTGCCATCGAACTTACAGCCTGCTGTTAATCACATGGAACACGCTTCTTATAAGTTCGTGCAGTTAATTTCTTCGAAACCTGTTTCATCTGGTCATTCAGTTATTTCTCATTCGCTAGTTTGCGTAAACTGTACTGTTTGACAACTTCATTTGTTAGGCACGACTTTAAACATATCGATGTGAATTGTGTTTATTCACACCCAATAATCCAGTAGCTCCACCTCCGACACAGGATTCCCCTTGTCGCAGCATGTCGCCAGCTGCGCGGATCCTCAACTCCCCCCGCATTCACACTGATATTTTTTTCCTGGATTATGCTCACACATAGGTCTCGATGTTAGCGCATTAATGACTGACGCATCCGAGGTATAAACACACGCGCACAAACCCCACAAACGACGCAACGACACCAACGTGGTTGGGCTCTGAAGTAAACGGTTGTGTCCACGTCCTCTCCTAAATTTTTCTTCATCGCGGGTATCAAGGAAACGTGATCAGATGAGGGTTAATTCCGTGGCCCCGGCGTGGTTCACAGCAAAATAAACACACGAGACAACAAAACTAGTTTGAGACACAGTCGTGTGTAAGCATTAATTCATGTTTTATAGATAACCCCATGTACTAAATAAAGTAGGCCTCCCATAGCGTAAATCTACGGAAAATTGGTAATTATCAAGATCATTAAACGAGCAGTTATACGATTCCATTAGGGAAAATAGGGATTAAAACCTGTCGAATTGGTATTTCCTTCTGTGAATAATTTATTATTCTGACTATTATTTAAATTTTATCAATTTAACTAAATTCAAAAGTGGTCGGCTTTGTTTAAAGGCTTATTATATTGCCCTCGGCTGCCCATCGTCGTGGTTTTGTACTTTTCATAACTACAGAAGACTGCGTCACACCCCTATACATCCTCTTGACGGTGATCGTAGCGTTAATCCATAATTAGCCAATAACCATGTGGCCAAACAAGTCTGTTGCGCAATAAGTACTATAACAAGGAATGATTAGAATATGTCTCCCCATCATGACTCGTCTGTCATTGGTTATGAAACAAATACAAAAGTTACGCAAATCGAGATCACGAGATATGTCAACTGTGGTTCTTGAGAAGTGAAAAACTGGTCAAGGGAACAGAGCCTAGGGGAACACGACAAGTCCTGTATCCGTTTATAGGCATCTATCAACACAAGTATCACCAAAGTGAAAGAAGCCCTCCAGGGGCCCTGCAAACGTGACTTGAGCATAACGATTCTTACACAAATTGCACCAATCATCCCCGAGACAAGTCAGCTAAATGCATTGACTTTGATGTATTATTAACCGTAGGAGATGGATATGTGGATGGTAGTTCAAAGACGCAAGCATTCTAAAGGCGGCATTACCTGGAATTTACCATAGGCACAATTGAATCTACAAATAACCATGAGATGCTTTGGACGTCACTAGACAAAAAAATGGCTAGGTGTTTCAAGGACAACAAAACCTCTGCTCACCAACGTCATAAATATTTTTAGTACATTTTTGAACTACCGAACAGATTTCAAAGACCGTTCTGATAAAGAAGTACACTGAATAAGTCGAAGAAGAAAATCTAGCAATTATGATCCATCCACCACCATCCTGTTTCACAACCTGCCAGGCTAAAGAGAAATGGCAGTGTGCTGATATTCCCATGGAATGCGACCAACAAGTGTAGGCGAAAACGGTGAAATTGGAAAGGAGGGAACGTTATTCCGGTTGAAGTCTCAATTTCTTCAACCCGGTCCCTTTAAATGTAGACTCTCAACCCCGTATTTGCTTGTCGACATCCTATTTGGTCACGGTTTTCCTGCCTTATCTGTTGTTTCAATACTTACAATTTGCTCACCGATTGAGCTGAGCTCACGTAAACACTCCCAGTGGATGTTTATTGTCCACAAGTTTGTTTGTATATTCATTTTATAATGATTCTTGTTGTAAATTTAACCAGTTAAAGGTTTACAGATACGTTTCTGATCTTTGTGGATCGCTTTTGATTCCATGCTTGTATCCCATCTTAGACTTGAAGGTACTGTAAATAGTTACTGTTTGCATTCGATGACATATGAATTGACCGACTTCCAATTTTCACATCTTTTGAATATTATTTGACTGTACTCAAAGAGGATAATTTTAGAGGCGCAATCTAATATCACATAGTGTGATTGTTTAAATTCAACTGTGAATGTATTATTATGATTTTGAACACTGTCTCTAATACTGAGAGCGTAAATTATTGTAGAAAACATGGTATACGAAAAAAGTCATTTCTAGTTACTTAAGAAACAAAATACACAGTTCAGGTTCAAAAGATTTTTCCATTGTATTGTTTCATTGAGGTTGAATTCTGGTTTACAGCTTCAGCTGAATAAGCTAAAAAACTATCATCAAGTGTAAATGACAGAATATTAAAGCTGTTCTTGACGTGTATGTGAATGTATGGCTGATTTCCATGGTGCCAGTCATTGGGATTTAATTTTTGTATAATTTGACACGATGCGGCTCATTTGGTTTTGGATGGTCCGACGTGAAAATTTGGTCTGGAGAACAGGCTTTTTTATGTGGATATATAGTAGTCTGATTGAAGTGCAGGTAAGAAGAGAGTGTTTAACTGCTGCATTGGTTAGCACTAACATGTAAAGCCAAAAATGGATTGCGCAGGATCTCATTACTTGTTTAGTGGTGGCAGTGATGTTGATAATTTGTTATTATAGAGTTTAATTCCATGAAAAAGTTGATTTGTGCATTTATAGATAACAGTACAGTCAATAGGTTACATCAGAAATGGTCAACAACCTAGTTGACACATGTTCTTCTGTACATAGCAGTTCTACTGGAAGATATCTGATATTACTTAATATGCGAAAGCAGTCCCATTGACTTCAGACTTCCAAAGAGAGGCTGTTTTGACCAATTACCAGTCACTAAAGTTCATTATATTCAGACTCTAGGTTTCTGCTAATTCCCAGTGTATTGACTCCCAATAGTCGCCAAACAATCAAGAAACTATTCACCTTCCTTCTTTCGACCTTCAGTAACACCGCAAGGTTTTTGAAACAAATTGACCTAAAGATCACACTTATACATTAATCACATAACGATAATCTGGAAGACCAAAATATATATGCTATTTGTCCTGAATACTTACTTCTGTTCGTAACGAAATTTTTCACACATTATCACAGGTTTCTTAATTTCATGCTGGTATTTAAGCTTTTCAGCTAATTTTAATATTAATATCTTCCATTATTTGAATGAATAACTCTCACAAAATCGAATCTAACATTTTGAGATAATAGGATTTTCAACATACATCAATTATACTTTTCTTGAACACTCGAATCGTTCTAAAATTGTTAACATATTCCGTATCAAATTCGTTGTTTAGTAGTCAGACTGCAAGCTACTTGTAAGCCTTGAAGCAAGATATCCTGCAATACTATGGGAAACTCAAATCCACTGTCTAAATTTACGTAAGTAAATCAAGAAATGGAGCGACTTTTTGGATTATTCCCTTTCATAATTCTCGTTTTTAGTCCCTATTTGAGGCCATGAACTAAATAACGATTTGGGTTTTTTTAAGTTTTTTTATGGAAAAAATTAATACAATGCATCTACGTTTTATAATCTACGTTCATTTTAACAACCTAGGTTATTAAAGTTGCCCGTTTGAAATTGTGGTCATACAGTGAAGTTGTGCGCGCAAATGAACTTTTTGCGTAGTGCGATAAGGTGGTTTTTCGCTAAGTTCTACTGTTTGATATGATCTTTGTGTGCGAAATGGCTATCTTTATTTAAACTAGCAAATGTTAGTTGGTGTATTGTTTCGTGATGGTAATTTATCGTCTTGAATACAGTGGTTTTAAAATGCAGTTGATTTTAACTGTCTTTATTTTGTGCTCTTGAGTATTAGGTCATAAACTCCTCCTTTAAGTGTGTGAGTTTTTTTCTCTTTTTTCGTCAAGAAAATTTTTAATAGCTAAATCGGACATTTTTGTAGGTCCTTCTTATTGTTTTGGTCATAAGTTTGTGAAGTTCCCTATTCTCTAGGATTGAGCTTTATTACTCATACTAAAGTTAATTGTCATGTAACGTTGAGTGGTCAGATTTATTTGTGTTTGTTGTCATTTTACATATTCTGCATTTTCTTAACTTACTTGGCCACACGTTTTAGTCGTCACCTTCTTTTCCTTCTCCAAATAATTTTATTAACTTGACCAATAAACTATTTCATCTCTATTCCATAGATGCAATCATCTATTGAAGCATCAAGTACTGTGATGGAAGACACTGACGCCAATGAACCCCGCTACAAATTGTGCACATTTCTATTCGGCAATGTTGACAGGCGAGGACGGTTAGAAGGAGAATATGCTAAAGATGTCGAACTTTCATCAATTAATAACATTGATACATGTCATGTAACCGAAGTAGAGTCAAGTATTCGGACGATAGTTTCCAACGCTGCTGAGGGCAGTTCACCTGCATCAAATGATTCCGGGGATGCTACTGCGGATTCTGGACCTTTAGCTGAAGCTAAAGACTATTATGATGAATCGGAGGTGATCCATCTCGATTCTATCGAAAACGCCCTTCCTGTTCCCTTCAATGAAGATGTATGTTTTTTACAGACTAACCATATTTAGTCCTGATCCTGTAGACATGTCTCACCTTGTTCATTTTGGTGAATCTTTGTTTTCACCTAGGATGATTACGACGAAATAACTGAAGTCGTCAAACCTGCAGCCACGGTCGAAGTATTAGAGGCATCTAATTCCCCATCGAAAATAAAACATCTGTTTTCGAGTTCTTCCTCTTCCCCTTTGGGTTCTCCTCGTTCCCAGCCATCACCTACGTTGTCAGGCACCCATCCTGTAATTAGGTGCTGCTCCGAACCATCTTCTCCTACTCCCAAACAGCCTCCTGCCGCTAATCAATCCGGTGAACAGCAGACTTCAGTCGCACAGACAGGAAACGAGGCGTCGGTTATGATGCCGCCTCCGTTGCATCCTGCTCCTATCGCCGTTTCTCGCCAACAACGGGCAAGTAGTTTCTGATTGTTTGGCGACATCGTAATGATTGTAAACCTTAACTTTGTAAGTCGTGGATTTCAAGTATCTATGTGTAAGGAAAGCATTAGATTAGTGTTGACTATGTGCAGTTTTCCCTAAAGATTTTTATTCAGGACATAGCACCAGCAGGCGTGTGCATTTAAAACCAATCGTTTTAGTTAACTTGAATGAGCATGTGTTAATATAGGTAATCCAGCGTTCACTTTGAATTCGCTGCCTCTTTACTCACTGTTTTAACGACTTGTTTATGTTTGTGATAACGTACTGTAGCGAAATCCTTCGGTAGCACTTCAGATAGGATCCAGCGCAGCTTTCCTAAAAACACGACTATATTCTTTAGAACACATCACCGCTCAATAAACCGGTTTCGTGCAATGACGACGACGCCCTCCTTTCAAATGATCATCATCTGTCAACTCACCGTGTTCTTAACACACCTCTTGGCAATCTCCTGCCTCCGGAATACGCAGATGTGGACATAACTTCACTGTTTCCGCACTATTCCCCCGACTCGATCCCCAGGTGGGGCCGCATACTGAACCTGCCCTATCCCCCTCGCAAGTACGAGAATCTCAAATGCGAATCATCTAAACATCCTTTGGAAGGTGAGAGCGGTGATAATTTCGTCAGTCTGACAAACGGGAATGCCAATAGTTGGAGTGAGGCAGAAGATCGGTAGGTTGGAGTTTATTTTATTAGTGATCCGTTATTTGATAATACACTTTATCGCGTATGACAAGCGTGTTGTTTCATAGAACAGGGATTTAATAGGGAAAAACGCGTGCGTTTTTGTTTGCAGCACTTTGAGATTGGTCCGAAATGTTACGTAGTCAGAGGTTAACTTGTGATAAGAACTAATGTCTGCTTTTGTTAATTATTCAAGCATCGCATTTCAGACTTAAGTACCTACACTAACATTTCAGCTGGTCGTCCACGTCTTTTCAATTTTATTTCAAATTTTGAAATGAGATTAAAAGGGCATTTGAATTCATTTCTCCTCGACTTAACCAGGCAACTCATAATGGAACCTAAATTATCTTCTTTATACTTAGGCCGTTGTCCTAGTCGATTTGACCATTGTTTAGTATCTTCACCTGATCCATAAAAGACCTTATTTGATTTGATGCTTCAGTACTTCACATGCTCCTTCGCAACCCTAATGTTTCTCCTCCTCATCTTCCCGTTTCTCTGTCAAGGCTGCATCTGATTTTCCGCAATTACCTTGATCTGGGCGAGGTGCCAACCAAACAGGAGCAGTTTGACCAAGCTGCGCAAATCGACGAGATGCGGGAGTTGGAACAGCCGCCAGAGCCGGGTCAAAACTACCTTGCCGGGGCCGAGCGCTCGTGGTGGCAGGTTGCCTTTGCCGAGCGTTTGGCTGAGATTGAAAATGCCACCAGCGATCTGACCAATAAGGCCTGCACAAAGGGCAAAGACTCGGAAGGCAAAAAAGACAAAAAGTCGAAGAAAAAATCCCCGGAGACAGCAACAACCGCTGGACTTGATGACAAGACCAACGCGGACGACAACGATGTGTCCAATAGCCCACAATCACGATATTGGCAAGTCTTAATGTTATTACGGTAGCGTTTAGCATCTCTTGATTGATGATGACATGAGTGCCACTTTGTCTCCTGTCTAGTACGTGGCGATTTGGACCTGCTAAGTATTGGTACGACCAGTTGGAGATCCCCGAGACGGCTGACATCACAAAGTGGACAGACTGGTGCAAAAATCCTGCAGTCGTGGCGCCCTTGCAGACTGACACACACTCAAAGCCACCCGAGACCGCTGCGACATTAGCGGATGACTCAGAATCGGCGGAGAATAAAGTAGGCACCAAGTCAAGCCAACTTGCTTCAACTGAGGACTCTGGCAAGAGCGACACCAATGGTATTCAACTTTCCACAGCATTTTAACATTCCATTTATATTATTAACCTACTTATTGCATATAAGTAGTGTTGTATTTATATTATTGAAATGAGACCGTGTGTTTGTCCTGGTAATTTAATTGCTTTAATTTTTACAACAGACTCGGAAGTTGTGGCAAATGGAGAGCATCAAGGGGCCCAGCAGTCAGCTGCTATGCAAGTGGATGAAGAAGATACGACAGATGACGAGCCTGACGAGGATGAGGAAGATAGGCCCGAGGAGGAGGTGTTTTTGCCTTACCAGCTCATGCAGTGGGAAGACGACATTATCTACGACCCTCAGCTGAGCTCCTACAAGGTGACAGTGAGTGCTCGACAAAACGCGGCCTACGCCGGTTGGATCCCGTCGCAGCACTGTCGCACTATGGCTGCATTTCAGGTACCGTTTTAATGCCGCTCTGTAAAAGTAATCATGCTGAAACATTATTACATTTCCCAAACCGGGGCATAAAAGGTGGCCTAACATTGTTATTCCTGTTTGGTGGCACCGGTTTTGCTTCATTTTACCCGTTCAGTAGCAAGTAGCTATTACAGCGTTACTTCAACACCCAAGTCTGACCTCTTTTTGGCAGGTCAAGCGTCTTTCACTTTTGACGAGGGTCTTAAATTCCTTGAATAGGATATGTACCAAGGCAAGTACCCGGGCATCTTGGGCTTCAAGACGTTAGTAGGCTCGGGTGTGTCTGGTCAGTCGACGACGGCTCTCTCTGCTACCACCACAACCGCCACCACCACCACGACTTCCACCTCCTTAGAAGGCAGCAATCAACCCCCCACTGCCCTGCGCTCCTCCTCCGCCGCATCCGCGGTCCCCTCCTTCACCGGCCCCTACGCGTTCTTCCCTGTGGAGAACGCCCGCATTCTCGACGACAGCTGGCGCTTCGATATTATCTACGACCCGCAGGAGCAGGCGGCAGCTGCCACGCCCTTCCTGCTCACCCTGGACAAGAATGACGAGCGTTGCGTTCTCGACCCAGTTGTCAACGACAATGAAGTCGTGGCTGTTGCCACGCCAATGACCCTAAGCAACAAGCAGCACATGCAGGAGGGGAGCCAGAGTCAAGTCAACAGGGCCAGCTTCCACGTCACCTTCGGCTTCGCCTCCACTCGCGGAACTCTCACCGGGGCTCTGGCCAAGGCGGAAAAGGGCGCTGAAAAAGTGAAACGCATTCTTGGCAAGGTGCGTCTTCGTTGCCATGTTTAAACTTTAACGTGTTGAAATTATCGCTCCAAGTGTAGTTCTGTTGAGTGTCCAGGAGTGCACACACTGCTACCATAGTCAATTGACTCAGCAACCGCTAATTATAAGCAAACTACACGAGTCACTACAAAATGCGCGAATTTTTGTCCCCTCAAATTCTGTTTTTTGTCTCTTCTTTGCCAAACACAGTTGTGTTTATACGGGTCAAATCGCGCAAGTTGTCTGGGGCTCTAGCAAATGTCAGATCGCGCATGCTCTGTCCAGTGCCTCTGTGTTCAAGGTCGCTTGGAGATGTGCCGAACGCTTATGAAGGCATTGACCACTTTTTCCCGTTTTAAAATTCAAAACGTAAAATCCTCTGCCAATCCTGTTCATTTATTGGCGCCCATGACTGTGCACATGGCGCGAATCAACCACAACCAGGGCGTACTCCTTTGCACAGCCTCAATAGCCATGGTTCCACCATACAGAACGGTCCAGCAAACTCTTCAAACACTAAAGTTTTATCTGCGTCGCTGGCCGGACATGGCAGCTTCGAGGTGCCCTGTTAACGGACAGCCCAAGCTGATGATCCTGTGTGGGTAAATCCCAAATTATGGTGGTTAGCTCTCTTATCTCTTAAATGTCCTTGACGCTTCTGTAGTTTTGTCAGAAGCTACCGCTTATCAGTCATTGAGGACATATTCATTTTCAATGACGTGAGACTGTCAAGCGTTGTTTCGCTATGTCATTCGCCGTATTTGCGCTGCTCCACTTATATGGTCTCATGTAAACCACTTTATGGATTCCTTTTCCATTCCAACGTATGGTATCCTTGCTGAATACTTTTTTAAAATGTAAGTGCCGGGTTTAGAGCACCTGCTCTGATCTACTTTGCAGCATGGTTTCCTGGCTGAGGGCGAGTGGAACGACGAGAGCCCTGTGAGTGAGGAGAACGCGGAGGGCGGAGACGAACACCAGGAGGCGACCAACATGGCGTCGGTGGCGGCAGCCGCCTCGGGCCTGCCGCCCAAGGATCCCCTCAACCTCTCCAACGACGAGTTCTACGCGATCCGCCCGGGCGGCCTCTTTGGCACGCTGGCGCGCTGCGGACCTCTGCAGCACAGCACCCCTGCTGTCGAGCTCTGGCCTCCATTCTTCCCCACCTACAACACTCCGCTGCGTCTGAGGCAGTTCCATCGGGTCCCTCTTAAACAGTGCGTTTTTCGTGCCATCTTCAATCTTTGGTAAAGAATCATGATTTAATTAGCAAACGACTGGGTATTTGCCGTTGCCATGTTTTATTAAGTAAAGACGAGCCGATGTTTAAGCGTTGTGACCTTACTGTGGTGCGTTTTTATTTTCTTTTTGTATTTCCTGCAGATATACGCGTGGTGTAATGTCACACTACGGTTCCCCCATTTCCGTCTCCAACCTCACAAAAAATATCCAGAAAAAGGCAAAGGAACGCGAGGAGGAGAAGATGGCGGCCGGTGGCGGTGACATTTTCTTCATGCGCACCCCGCAAGACCTCTCTGGTTTCGACGGAGAATTGGTACTTTTCGAGTACTCGGAAGAATTTCCACCACTGATGAACCAGGTGAGGACGCATGCAACTTCCTTTCCTCACGCTTGGAGATCCGTAGTTAACTTTAGCCTGAACATAAGTGGTTGCGCAGGTTACTGTCTTCCGACAGGCGGTTCCAGGCATTTTGTGGCAATGGTGGCCGTAGCCTCAAATCCGTTCCCTGTTCTCGAACATGCATTTTTCAGGTTGTCACTGCGGTGTGACTCATCTTCTCTGCACAGGGTCTTTGTTCCCGTTGCAATCAGTCTAGGTTTCACTTTTTTTATCAAACATCTTTCTCCTCACTTTTAAATGGCACTCCTTTGACGTCTACTTCATCGTACCAGTGTGATCAAAAATCGGAAGAATCGTTAATTTAGCAGTGTTGTGGGCCCCAGCATGTGGTCTTGAACCACACCGGGGCCACGGAATTAACCCTGACCCGAGTACGTTTCCTTGATACCCGCGATGAAGAAAAAGTTAGGAGAGGACGTGGACACAACCGTTTACTTTAAAGCCCAACCACGTTGGTGTCGTTGTGTCGTTTGTGGGGCTTGCGCGCGTGTGTTTATAACTCGGATGTGTCCGTCATAAATGCGCTAACATCGAGACCTAGGCGTGAGCATAATCCAGGAAAAAAATATCAGTGTGAATGAGGGGGGGAAGTGAGGATCCGCGCAGCTGGTGACATGCTGCGAAAAGGGGAATCCTGTGTCGGAGGTGGAGCCACCGGATTATTGAGTGTGAATAAACACGATTCCCAAAAAAAGCCTTTTGTATCAGCAAACACCTTTCAGCTCGGCCTAAATTTGATGTATTTCTGAGCTGCAAACTGTTGGCTTTACTTCAAATTTAGTGTGAATGGAAGCGCCACCTGCAACAATGAATCAAGCACCAAACAAACGTCTTTGTCGTTTACTGTAAGCTAAGGAAAACACAGTAATCGGTCTCAAATGTAGTGAGTGACATCCTAGGAAAAATTGCTTGCCACCGCTTTCAGGTTTGTTGTTAGTGTTAAAGTACGTGCAGTGCCAATCACTCGCTAATTTCTCTTACCGACTTTCAGCTAAGCCATTTTGCAGCAAGTACCTGCTATTTTTTTCAGATTGGCATGGCAACACGGTTGGTGAACTACTACAGGCCCCTGTTGCCAAAAGATCCCTCTCTGTCTCCCGACCCGGCGGGCAACAATTCACCCCCAGACCTCCCCTACGGCTCACTGGTCAACGTTGGCAGCACTGATTCGCCCTTCCTGGGTGCTGTGAGACCTGGTGGATGTCTTCAGGCAGGTGGCTACAGCAACTCTAGTTTTATCAGTCATATAGTCCTACTCAGCTAACTGTACGCCTTAAATGTCTTGGCATATTGCTTACCGAAGTCCCGCATATTTGCTAAATGCGTCCCAATATGTCTCGTAAAACGCTTAATCTGCCACTCTACTGGGTGTTTCCAGGTTTTATGACTGGATCGGGTAATTGTCGTTCAATTAGAATTTGTTAAACTAATCGTAGCGAGGTTTTGCAGTGGACTGTCGTTTCTTTTTACTGAAAATTGTCCATCTACCTTTACGAAATCACGGTTGTTGCCTTCTTGAATGGTAATACGAACGACAAATCCACTCTTAGCTGTTGTTACGTAGTCTAGCCGTATGGAATTTACAATTGCTGACTCGATCAGCTTGGCCATCATTCCGCGTTCTACACACCTTAACGTTACCTATAAGTATGGGGTTGTAAATTTGGTTTTCTGTTGGCTTTCTAAAGGTACCTGGCGTTCTATTCAACATCTGTTATAAGTCTTAACTAGTGCTTTTTGGTTTTGGTAGAGCATGGAGAACAACATGTTCCGCGCACCCATCTATCCACACAAAACGCCAACGACTGATTTCGTGGTGATTCGCAACAGGAACGGCCTATGGATCCGACGAGTGCCCAACGCCTTCACGGTGGGGCAGGAGGTGCCCTTGATGGAAGTTCCCGGTCCAAACTCGAAGCGTGCCAACAACTTTGCCCGGGACTTTCTCCAGGTCTACATCCTGCGTCTCTTCCTTAAGAGCACCGACGAGCCGAAGCGGATCAAAATGGAGGAGATTCGCTCGGCATTTCCCAACCACTCAGAGAGCAGTGTCCGCAAGCGTCTCAAGATTTGTGCTGATTTTAAGCGAACTGGTAAGTTGCTCAAGCGCATGCCTGTGATTCTGAAGGCCGAGGTCGGTATGATGCTGCCTCAGAAAAATAAAATCGTTGCTCTTTCGCCTTGCGCACACTCAGTTCTCGGCAACCACAAATAATTCTCACGAAGCAACAATTGCCACAAAAATGAACCTCCACAAATGTTGTTTTTGGCTCTCGTTGGCATTTTCACCACGTTGATTATGTACACAATCCGTCTACATGACCTTGGCGACTTCACAGGTGCTGCCAGCCGTTTCATTGCACCAATACTTTTCCCAATGAAATTCTCTCGTTATTTGGACTCTTCGGCCGCAGTCCAGCGTTAGCAACTGCTTTCATAGCATTACCACTCATTGCGTTGATATTATTCTCCGCGTTTCACTCCCCCACTAATCTATTAACCTCATTTGCGTTTATTACGGCACTGCCTTTTAAAAACTCCTAACCGAAGATAAGGCAAATCCTCCGTATTGGGGCAAATAAACTGCCCTAATTTCTTATCGATTTCGGGAAGATGTCCGAAGTTAAGCAGAAATAGCCGAGTAATTTTGCAATGTTGAATTAGTACGTAGATGTTGTGGCTGAAAATCCAGCTAACCGAAATTACAATTACTCTTTTCGCCTTGTCCGTAGGTGTGGATGCCAGTTGGTGGGTCCTGCGGCCTGACTACCGTCTTCCCTCGGAGGAGGAGATCCGCTACCTCGTGCAGCCTGAGGACTTTTGTGCCTTCTTCAGCATGCAGGCAGCGGAACTGCGTCTCAAGGACGCCGGGTATGGCGAGAAATCGCTCTTCGTGCTTGACGAAAATCCCGAGGAGGAAGAAGAGAAGGAGGGTCAGGTTAGGAGAACTTGTGTTTCATTCCTCTAAGCGTACCTTTAGCGCTGAAGCCATCATCCGGGTCAATTATCTTCCTCTACATAGGCTGCCAACGTAGGCAGGCAAAATCCATTGACATTTCGCCAATGTAAGATCCACACTAAATTATCCGTTAATGTATGTCTTGCAGAAGTTGCAGTTCATGTCTTTAAATTTATGACTTTGCGGCTAGGCGTGCGGCTTGGTATTCATATAAAGGAAAAACCTTGTTATAGACCCCAGCATGTCGTCTTGAACCATGCCGAGGCCACTGAGTTGGTTCTGGCCCGATTCTTCCACCCTGATACTCGCGATGTTGAAGAAGAAGAAGATCTGGGAAGAAAGTGGACGAAGCCGTGTGTGGCGTTTGCGCGTGTGTATTTACACCTCAAATGTGTGAATCATAGATGCGCTAACATCGAGACCTAGGTGTGAGGATAATCTAAGATAATTGTTCGCGCTAAGGAGGGGGGAGTTGAGCGTCCGCGCGGCTGGCGATTCACACCAGCCTGTTGGAGCGAGGTGTTCCACGTAGCAAACCCGCAGTGGTAGTCTCCGCCTAGGCGTTCTCTCCCCACAAGCCGTTCACGTGCACCCAAATCCCATATCCATAGGCCTCTAAACAATTTGTCATTTTCTTGTGTTTAGCCAAAAATGGAGGACGAGGTTCGGGCAGCTCCATGGAATACAACGAGGGCCTACCTGGCGGCGCAGCGTGGCGGGTGTTTCCTCGAGCTGCACGGGCCCGCCGACCCCACGGGCTGCGGCGAAGCCTTCTCGTACTCCAAGACCTCGGCTAAACCCGGCGCCCTCTTCCGCCAGGCTGGCGGCGAGGTGGCCCGTGGGCTGCTCAAGGACAAGAAGACGGTCACCGGGACTGACGCCGATCTGCGAAAACTGCACCTTCGCGAGGCCAGAGCCCTGCTTCGGTCCTTTGGCATTAGCGAAGCCGACCTCAAAACATTCAAACGGTTCGTCGGCTCAACACTTATTGCTCATCGCTTTGGCTTTAAGTACAAGTTATGGTGGACTTTGCTCAATCATGGCAAGTACCTAACTGGAACGCAATGCCATGCAAGTGGTGAATTGTGGTTTACATGGCGAATCATTGGCCTCCCTGAATCGGGATGAAAACGTTATGCCTTTATTTTGGAAACCACTTGCTACCGAGTAGCATGCTTGGCTTTGCAAAGTTTGCAAATGCAAATGTATATTCCGCTTATTTTTTTGGAAATCGATCATGCGTATGGAAATTCTTGCAGACCTTCATTATTCCAAATCTAGACATGGGATGATTTTCACAGGTGCTGTGTTAGGACCATTACTTCTTTATCATTCTGGTCTTAGATATACTAATTTGATTCGGGCCGTTGTTCGTTTAACTTATCCAAATCAAAAATTCTTTCTGAATTCTTTTAGTTGGGAGATCATCGATATGGTCCGATTCACATCCACTGAGCGCGCCAAGCAAGGGGAAGAAGAGAGCACAGCAAAGTTTGCCCGCGGCAACCGTCTTTCCATGGCGGAGCAGATTCGGTGCTATCGAGAGGAGTGCCAACGCATCTTTGACCTCCAGAATCGCGTCCTTTCGAATCCCGAACTCCTCTCTTCGGATGAGGAGGAAGAGGAGCCCAGTTCTGAAGAGGAGGAAGACGACGAAGCGGCTACCTCAAAGAATGCCTCCGCTGTCGGTGGCGGCACCACCTCGAACGCCATCGGTGGTGTGCGGCTCTCCAGCCTTCCTTCATCCAATCATCAGTCTGCCCGCAATGTTCAGTCTCTTCTAGCCAATCGAATTACTTCAGAGGAACTACGAGAGAGACAGGAGGAAGTGGAACGGGAAGATCTAAAGCGAAGTGTGGAACTTGGGGTATGAACTTACTGATTCTCATGTCTTCTTGAATTAAAGCAGCTCTTTATTCGAGGCCATTCCAAATAGAGACAAGTGTTTAAGTTGGAGTTCGCTGTTCCACCCTTTAGCCGATGTTTGTTTTCCAAGCCCTGTCCAATAGGTCGCCTGCTAACGTCCCATTGTCACTCATTTAAAGAGACGTGGCGTACTATGTTGGATACCAGAAACCCTTACCTAAACATAAATGTTGTATTTGTCGTAACCAGCCAAGCCAACCGATCAGTCAGAGCTAATTTGTCATTATGAGGAAGTAGAATGATAAATTGCCAAATGTTATGTGGGCCCCAGCATGTGGTCTTGAACCACGCCAATGTCACGGAATTAACCCTGGCCCAATTACGTTTCCCTGATGCCTGCGATGAAGAAAAAGGCCGGAGAGGACGTGGACACAACCGTTTACTTCAGAGCTCAACCACTTTGGTGTCGTGTGTGGGGTTTGCGCGTGTGTATTTATACTTCGGATGTGTGAGTCATACATGCGCTAACATCGACACCTAGGTGTGAGGATAATCCAAGATAAATGTTAGTGCGCGCGGCTGGCGACATGCTGCGAAAAGGGTAACCCTGTTTCGGAGGTGGAGCGACCGGATTCAGGGGTTGAGTAAACACGCTTCACAACAGTTACCCACATTGCTTTACACTTTAAATCAATGGTTACTAACTCGCTATGTTCGATACAAGAACCCCTTCTCCATCTAGGCCAGCTCGGACTACTTGTGATCAATCACTCCGACCTCCTAAGTTGTAAAAAGGGACTAAAATAATAAAGTGCCTACTTTTTGCGCGCATTGTGCTGCACTCTAAATCAAAGGCTACTAACTCGTAGTAGGTTTTCCTTCTGTAATTTGGGGACTTATGGATGTCCATTTTGCTTTAGAAATCGTTGAGTTCTTCAACCAAGAACAGGCGTAAGCAGAACCAACAGCAACCGCACACCAGCGAGGCTCAGTCAACGAGCCAGACCGTGCCGCAGCAGCCTGCAGCCCCAGTCGTCTACGACGCAAACGCGACGTCTGCAGGCACCATCCTCGATTGTCCGGCGCCCTTTACCAATGCCCAAAAGAAGGTGCTCCGAATTGTCCGGACCTTTGGTGAAGGCACCGACAGGCAGTACACACGCGTCGAACTGGTTCCCTGGTCACCCGTTATCGAGGTCTATCTTAAGATTAAACAGACAAAGGATGTTGAACAGATTTACACGTTCGTGGGCTCCGATGAGCAGTTCAAGGAACAAAAGAGGAAGGAAAAACGACGAATTCAGGTGAGTCGACGTGTTTACTGTAGAATAAGCCAATGCCAAACGACTAGCGGATTCGGGTGGCTGTCTTCTCGTGGTTTTTATGGACAAGTTTCGTCCAACGATAATTTGTCTTGTTCCTTTGTAATCTACGAAGCTCACGACTGCACTTATCATCCCATCAGAATTTACCACCTTCATTTACAATGACCCATGTGCCATTACAGAATGCCTTTCCATTAACGAAACGACTACTGAACATACTTGATACTTCACTAAGTGTTCGTGTTTGGCGCAAGATGTGTTTGATGGCCAGGTAGTCAGAACTGCTCAAACTCGTGAATTTTATTGCAATTTTATCGTCCCCTGTCATGATCCACGAGCATAAGTCACCGTCGGCTAGTCACTCAGCGTTTGGTTGCAGTCACGGCGAGTCGTTGTTGTAATTGTGTGCACAACCTCCATTCTGCAGGACCAATTGCGTCGAGTGCGAAAGCAGCAGGAATTGTTGCGCGCCCGCGGACTGGCAGGCGGTGGGGTTCCCCTGAGGGACGCCAGTGGGCGTCTCCTGCCCGCCAACCGTCTCCCCTTCTCCTCCTCCTCGGCGTCATCGTCCTCGCGCCGGCGACACAAACCAACCAGCAACATCCTCAAGATGCGTTGCGGCGCATGCGGCCAGACCGGTACGCACCTGTTTCTCCCTTGTCTTGCACCACCCAAGTGTGCTAATTTTACTCACAGACTGCACCCGTCACTAATGCTTCCGTGGCTGTCGTGGTTTACGAGGACAAAGGTTCTAGTTTTATGCTGTTTTGCGCTCTGAGGCGATGCATTTGCTTTGCATGTCAGTAACTTGAATTGTAACCAAACGTTGGTGTAACCTCCATCCAGGAGCTCAGTACAATCTTTTCCAGGTATCACTGCGAACTTAGTGTGAACCAAACTCCCCACTTGTTAGTACCACTTGTGGTTTTGACAGTCGTTAACTACTGCTTTACACCCTGCCATTACAAAGATGATACTCCTAAAGGCTACCTTCTTATTCCTGCTATATTTTTTAATTCAGCAACCCCTTGTTAGTCGTATATTCTTGTTGTGGGCCCTAGCATGTGGTCTTTAACCACGCCGGGGCCGCAGAATTAATCCTGGCCCGATTAAGCTTGCCTGATACCAGCGATGAAGAAAGAAGACCGGAGAGGATGGAGACAACCGTTTACTTCAGAGGTCAACCACGTTGGGGTCGTTGTGTCGAGTGTGGGGTTTGTGTGTTTGTATTTATAGCTCGGATGTGTGAGTCACACATGCCCTAACGTCGAGACCTATGTGTGCGGATAATCCAAGATAAATATCACTGTGAATGAGGGGGGAGTTGAGGATCCACGCGGCTGGTGACATGCTGCGAAAAGGGGAACCCTGTGTCGGAGGTGGAACGACCGGATTAAGTGATGTGAATAATAACGATTCACAACAAATGATTGATTTGAGGTCGGCTCCGTCGCCTTATGTGGGCTTTTGTTTCGAATTATGTCCGCAGGTCACATGCGCACCAACAAGGAGTGTCCGATGTACGGTCGAAGCGACGTTGTAGCCCCACCGGTGCCCGGGGGTCGCGGCGCCGCCCGCCGCCTCCTCCCGCCCGGAGTCGAACCCGAGGCCGTGGCGGCCGCCCAGGAGCTCACCTCAAAGCCCGTCGCCGAGCTGCTCGCCGCCAGTGGTGGTGGCGGCGGCGGGGCAGGCGTTGACTCGGGCGACACCGCGGTGGCGGACACTCTCGGCGACGGGCCACGCAGCATCGGCGCCTCGAGGCTCTCAGACGACTCCGACGACGTCTTCGATCGGCCCCACTACGCTAGGGGTGACGACTACTACGAGGGCCTCGATGAGGATTCCTCAATGGAAAGGCCGCGTTTTGTCATTTTAAATCCTTTTTTTCTCGTCTTACTCCATTCACCGAGTTCTTTTGTATTAATCTTCCACTAAGATAACAGTCGTGACGAATGCAGCTCTAAACACCCAGCGAGTGAGTAAATGTATAGGCCGACCCTCCGTAGTTGACCACTTCTTTGACATTTGCTCTGGTGGCATGATGGAGTCGTCACATAAGTTATACCCACAAAGCAGGGTTCTATCTTGGGTTTCAGAGCCTATCCAAAGCTATCTTCAATTTCAGTGACATGGTTCTATCTACCGCCACCTCTTGTTTAAGAAGCAGTAAATAAGCATCCGGCGGTATGCTTGCCTTTATTAATTGTCTGGTATTTCCTTTTCGTTTATAGTTTGAGAACACCAGATTCAAGTCAAACACCAGTGCTTCTCGCTACCTGGATTCGCACGTCCCACCAAAACGCCACGACTTGAAGATGACGATAAGCAAGCAGCTGCTTGACCGGCTTGACGCGGCTACCGAGGTGGTTCGCTACGTCGAGGCTGTCAATCAGCGTGGCCGCGGTGCTGGGTCGACTGGCGGTGCGCGATTCGGTGCTGCCGGCGGCAGTCGGAAGCGCAGCGCCCTTGCTAGCGCCGCCGACGACGACTACCCCACGTCAACCATCAAACACCGTGGCAACCGCCGCCGTATTGACCCTAGAGTCGCCATAAACCACATTTTCGAGGGCATTTACAAGGTGATTTATTGACGTTGTGATAGATTAGTCCACCGGCATGATAAGCTCAAAGCTGAGGACTCCTTTCCGGCATATGCTTCTAAGAAGTCCTCTGCCTTATTCAAATAGCGACACTTTTTGGGGGGAAGGTTTTAGTGATCACCTGTAGACTACGTCCTTTCTAGTCCTATATCGTGCTTCAGCGTTGGTTTTCACCTCATTGGTGCATTTAACGGTGGCGTTCAACGGGCGTCGTAATTCCTTCTCTTCCGTTCTTGCAACAGGGCCTCTCACAGATCCCCGGTTACAAAATTTTCCTGCATCCAGTAAAGGAGAAGGACTTTCCCAATTACTACACCCAAATCAAGACCCCCATGGACCTGTCTCAGATTCGAATGAAAATAAACGAAAATGCTTATTCCACTCGCGAGGAATTCCTCTCTGACATTCGTCTTATTCACGACAACTCGGAGAAGTTTAACGGTGCGTTTCATTTCAGTTTTTCAATATTGTCGAATGTGTTTATCTACTGTCTATGCATAAAAATGGCATGTCTACACTCGTAGTTAGATAAAATGGGTGTTTCGTTTCATTAAACGGTTCATGTATCTTGAACAAGGTCGTAGGGTAGGCATCGAATGTATTTGCAATGTACTGGAGTACTTGTATTTAATAAATTACGATACTACATTTGAAAAAAAAGTAGGAATTAGCCCTACGCGCCACTTCATTCCAGGATGGTTGATGTGTTGTGCGTGGCCAGAGGAGAGAGAGAAAAAAAACAGAACTTTTTAATTGCGAGTTTGAGGTGCTTGTGCTAACAGCGGCTGCCGCGCGCCAACTGACGGAAAGTTCATCCAGTTTTTTGCCATGTGTGGTCTAAGTTGTGAATCAACAGCAGGCAGTCACCGGTATTTGGCACGCAAGTTCTGAGTGGCAGGCCTGATTGTTGATCATTACCGTTTCATGGGCGTGAACATTGTGTAAAAGATCTAATCCCACTGCGCGTGCTTGCATACCTGTTAATCCGCTTGGATTTATTTAGTGTGTTCTCAAGTGGAAGGGGGAAAACATGCGAAATCGCTTAGCTTCTATTTGCTTGAAATTAATATTACTTCTACCCGAAACAAAACAGAAGGGAATAGCGTATGTGTGTGTGGGCTCGTTTCAGGTCGTTTTTCCTCGTATACCGAGACCGCCAAAAAGATGTGCTCCTATGTGGCGGAGGAGTTTTGTCAGAAGGAAATGAAGTTGATGCGATTGGAGCCCCTGGTGAATCCCCTGTTAGACGAAAACGACCTCGTTCGGCTTGGATTCCTCCTGCAGAAAGCAGTGGATGCAATGCGCGGTGTCGAAAATAGCAGAGCCTTTCATTTTCCCGTCGAAAAACGCCGCTACCCAGTAAGTGCCAGTCTTTTTCCCCACTAGGATGCATTACCCTTGCTCTCCTGTGCGTATAATTTGTCCGTCAACCTGTCTCCCCTTCGTGAAATGTGTCCGGAATTCACTGCGATCGATAAATAAACCAGATTACCTGGGTCTGTTAATTCTATTTCGATTTTTTTAGGATTATTACAAAGCCATTTCGCATCCAATGGACCTGTCGACTTTGGAGAAATTGATAAAAGAGAACCGCTATCATAGCAGAGAGGAGTTCTTCGCCGACGCCGACCTAATCCTCTCCAATTGTCGTCGCTATAATGGCGACGAGAGTGTTCTCACCAAGATTGCACACAAAATGCTCGACGTGGCTCACTCAACTCTGAACGAGGTGGAAGATACCATAGAAACTATCGAAGAAAACATCAGACAGTAAGCTCCCACCTGTCTGTCACGAGACAGAATCGGTTTGGGCAGAAAAATAAATAACCTTATTCGCGTTATTACAGACGTCTGGATGATATATCGATCCCAGATTCTCAATCACAACACGGCGGTATCGGGTCAGTCGACTTGACTGGTCCGTCATCCTCGAAGCCAACCAAGCAGCCCCCCAAGCAGCTGACAGGTGACCTTGAGGCTTCCTCCAACAACCAGGGCTCACTACGTCGGCCACGCGAGGATGATACCGAGTCCGTGAGTAGTGCCAAAAGGCCGAAGATCGCCGCTGCTGATGAAGGTTTGTTTTTGTTTTTTGTTTTTTATAAAAAGATCCAAATTAGATGACTTGCAAGAGTAGCCGCAACTTTCCATCTTCTTGTTAGAAGTCTTTCCCAGGACGACCTTCCACTCACCCAGATCGGGCTCACGGCACGAAGAAGAGGAAGAAGAAGAAGAGGAGGAGGAGGCAGAGGACGAGGATGGAGAATTTCACTATGACACCGAGCCCGAGTCCCGTTTTTACAACTTGCTGGGAGCTGATTTTGAAAATGCAATGGACCACAGCAGGCACCCGCCCATCTCGGCCGAACAGGCTTCTTCGGTTGACGAAGACACTCGAGTGAGTGGCTGTCAGTCCCACATTTGCTGTTGTTTTTTCTCAAACTGGCGTTAGAGTAATTGAGTGTCTTCAGGATTAATCTGCTTTAAACGACGCCACGCAAGGCAGTGTGTGCATTCAGTAAGGGTTGGACTGCCTAAGCTTTAACGATGGTCTAACCTTGCGGCGGCTGAAACCCTTTGGAGGTCGTCAAATGGGCTTTGATGGTTTACGGAAATTCGAGGGTTGAAGGCGTTGTTACTCACGTCAAATCTCACACTGCTTTTAGTACTCGGTTGACGAAAAGAGCGTCGTGAACAACGCGCAGGACACGCTGGTGGCTCACGCCCTGCAGCTGACGAGTTCCGAGTCCAACGACAGCCCTTCGGAACGGGAGGGCGGTGAACTGATGAGTGATTCGATGGTTGGTGGCGCCGAAATGTCGCAACCGGCATCGCATTACTCGGTAAGCCGGGTCACCACTGATTTATAATTTCAAACCGATTTTAAGCATGCTACTGAAACCAATATAAGTAGCTGTGTATGTTCCGCAGCCTGACCTCGGATCGGACCAGGCCAATGACGGCTTCGATTCACAACCCGAGGGTACGATCGTCGAGGACGAGGGGGATGAAGATGCCTGTGCTTCAGAGCGCCACCGTGTCGAATTTTTTATTGGAAGCGATGACGAAGATGAGGACTCACAGCAATAATTTTACTTGTACAGAGAGCAAACACCTGTTGTACAAAATCCCGCACTCCCTTCATGTCTGTTTGTCGTTTGTAATTTGCAATTAAAGCTATATTTTTTATCCAAGTTGTGTGGTTCATGGCGTTAGCTTTTGTCTGCATTGACTACCACAAACCGAGGTGCACAGGGAATAGAATTCCTTTCGTGAATTCAAGTGCATGAGACTCGTTCCGGTAGCTATTTGAAGCGCCCAGTAAAACGCACAAAATTTGATGTATCAGAGTTCAAGGGATGTAGTTCGCGGTAAGGAAAGAAGTGAGGGATTCTAGGAAGCGTTCGTTTGCGCACAAAATTATTCTGTTCTACATCCGTTGTCATCAGCGTTTTTTTTCGATTTACGTATTGCTCGTTTCTGATGAGTATTCGTATTTTGGCAGGAATCCGGTCAGAGTCAGTCAAAATGACAGATAGTTTACCAAGGAGAAGAGAGATTAGACTTTGGAATGAAACCGTAGATTACTAGTGGTCAGAGTTGCGTTAAAATCGTATGCGATAACAGTGTTCATAACTCGTAATAGAGGCCGCAGTTTCAGTCCTGGGCTTATAAAATGCTACAAAGCATGACGCCATCGTCGCGATTCGGTCACTCCCTGAAAGGACATCGTTAGCTTCGTTTATCGTTATTATTATTATTATCATCACGCAATAACGGGACAGCTACTAGAGTCATTGAGACAGCTGTGTCCGAGTCCATCCCGGTTCCACATCAACTCATTACAAGAGCACGGATTCATCTCATTGCGTCGAATACTGAGTCGCTGCCACTGGTCTACTAGATTCCCGCTTGACTTCCCCTTCGTCTAAGCCATGGTGTCGACCTCAGCACCGCCTCGCTGACGAGACTGGATGATATCCTTCCCAAGTACTTTGCGGCTCGTAACCAAATGACTCTCGACACCTCGGAGTTTGGAGTCGCACAATTAAAAGCACCTTATACGTTTCCACATACTAGTGAAGCACTCACTCGTAGGACGCTCTTGACTATTTACGGCTCTTGTCACGTAAACTTTATTACTGCCTGCGTCCGATTTCGAAATCCAACCCAATGCATGATAGTTCATGTTATTGGGTAGTCCAGTTATGCCCTATTATAAACTTTTCAGTAGTATTCACCACGCTTCTTGCGTACCCATTTCTCTAGATGTTGACTGTTTCAATAAACCAAGAGGTGCCTATGAATAAGGAGTTAAGCGTTTTAGCTGTGTTGGTCTCCATTTTGACTCCAGCATGTCTTTTACACAGTCGAGTGGTTAATTTAGCAGTTGTTTTTACAGGCGAATTCTTTATAAAACTCGTGTTTTCGCATGAAGCACTGACAAGCAATTTCCTATTGGTTGACGTTATCGAGTGACCTTGCGCTTTCCGACCGGTGTGTTGTCCAAAAAGTGGAATGATTTCAACTCACAACTCCTGCACACACGCAGCCGCCCTTGCGCAGGAAAAGGAAAAAAGCCTCTCTAAACTTTGACTTCCATCTGGAATGATGGTACTGCTGAGGTGGCAAAAAGTGTGTTCTGTTGCTAGGGCGTATACAAACATACCAGATCCCTCCAATAGCTGAAACCCCAGCAATCTGGTATGTTTTGCTCGGTTTATGACCGGACATTTATTAATAAATTTGCATTATGACTGCAGCCACATGATCCAAGTTAGATCCAGATCTTTAGTACACCTGCACAATTTACTAACGGTTGTGCGAGCGTTTAAGCCACAGCATTCTTCTTACATGTTGTGATAGCGAACTATTGTCAGGTCGCTCCTTACAACTTGGCTGTTAACCTACTCCAAGCGAGGTAACTTGCAAAAATTGACGCAACATACAGTGGTTTACTTGCTGCTTTTTCGTGTGGTTTGGTACATATTCTACGCTTGAAGATAGGTGACATTAGAATACTCAACTTATGCACTTGTACACACGACGAATCTAGCTAAGGGCAAAATCGGGTGAACGAATTTTGGCCTATACTGTGGCATTGGATCATTGTGGTAATGTAATTTTCGTCCCAAAACAAGCTAATTGCTGACTGGCGTTATCGTGAAGCTCATCAGTTACAGCTGTACCCTCAAACGGTCTTGCATGTGTACCTTTTTTGGTTGGTTAGAATGCGCAAGGCGGTCTTGTTGGCCTGTATAACGCATCGTGGACCTTCCAAGATCCTAATCCTGACCAAATTCCGCTATTGCTTACAGAAACAGCATTGTCCTAGATCCAGGCCCCTTGACACCGTGGAGCCAATAAGAATTGGGTTGCAAAAGAAAACTTCCGGGCTCGCAATAATTTGTGGCCACACCCTTTGTGACGAATTAAACACAGATGCCTCGTAGACAAACGCAATAACTTGCAAGAACGTGCTTACCGCGACCTTTCGGTGTTGCAATAAACCGTGCACGTATAGACATCTCTGCTCAATCGCGCTCAGCCGACGCTATGGTAATGACGTTTAGCATGTAAACTAAAGCAAGTACTCATTTCGTTTAATTCCTGTTTTTTTCCTATTTGCAATTATGGCATATCAACATTGAGCCCTTTCTGAATTTGTTTTTAGTTAAATCATCTACTGAGATTGAAATTTTGCTTCACGCATTTGAACTTAGCGCCATCGATTGAAATCCATTTTTAGAGTAAAATTCATTTTTTCCTCTTACATTGTCATAACGTCATTTCACCTTCACCAATCATTTCACGGATAACCAAGTCAGAAACCAATTTTGTATCCGTCAACTGAAACAGTGTAGTTAAAAAGCTTCTCTAGTACAGTTTTTTGGATAATTTATCCACCAATTTTTTTATTTGGAGTGGATTCAACTTCCTTGAATATTCCTCACCAACTTCTTGCACCATCCGTTTTGCATAAAATTACGGCTTCTGATACTTCGGAAGTATCTCCGTTCGTTCGCCTTGTTACATTACCACTCTCTAATATACTTTATAACAGCCTCTAACACCGCTGACCGTCGATCATTTTATTGAATTTTAATTTCGAGAATGTGTCACAATTCCAATAACGCAGTCCTTGTCGTATAAACAGCTGGTGGCTTGTGGTTACGTGGGAATCTTGTAGAAGGTCTAAAGATCAAGCCGAAACCATGCCTGTTTTGGAATTTCTATCACAACACAGCAGCCATTCCTTAAAAAACAACAAATGTGCGCTGTACCGCTTCGTAAGCTGCGGCTACTATGGTCACTTATGTGGGCGGGTGAGAATGGGGAATACAACATTCTTATTAACTAACCTTACCAGCAATACCCATTCGGTAGAGCATTTTGTTTACCAAAAATGAAATAAATTTTTTTTCTGGCAGATAGTAGTAGCCTATGATTTGGAGCTAACCAATAGGTAGAAGGGTTTGATGGTTCCAATTCAAGTCGTTTTGGCCAGTTTTTCAGCAGTGTTACCTCGCCCACCAAGCCACTTCTAATTAACGCGTTTAACATGACCAGTTTCAACCTTGTTTGAATTACGTATTTCCATGTATGTAGGAAGAGTTCTCATATGTCGCTGATAGTAAGCATCACTGTTGGATTCACAGTTGAGATTCTTGACGCCTTTGTGTGGGACTCGGCCCACGTCGGGGCTGATGAATCACGTAGACACGGTATATGACGAAACCAGAGTTGACAAACGGAAGAATCTAAAGAGGACTAAGCAGTAGAACTAGAGCACTCTCACCAACATTCACGAACATTCATCAGCACGTCCGATTGCTGGCCTGCCGGGTGCCAATAAGCTATTCACAACTGTCAATACCTTTGCCGCTTACTCTGTGAGCGATCAATTCAAAATTCTAATTCTGACCAGGGATTACTAGACAAACTTAGAGAGACAGAATTTGTGCTCACGGTTTTCCACTATGCTTTATCAATCACCTCAAAAGCTCCGGAGGATTCTCTCAGACACCTTGTTTACATAAATTATTAAGGAGGGGTTCTCGCTGTAGGGTGTTTTCAGAATGTGAATCTAGGTGAGAAATCTGCAGTGCTCTAGCGGGAATTGTGATGAGCAATTACATTAAGTAATTTGACGGTCAAAATGACCCATCCACCAATACGCCCTTTAGTGGTTTTGTTGAAAGATTGCATAAATACCCCGTTTTTAAAGTTCAACATCTCATTGGTTACATTTTAACTTCATTGAAGGACAAGCTATTATCGAAAGCAAGTCTCGTGAGTTGGAAAATAAACGAAATAAGCGAAAACTCAAAAGGCGCGTAAGTCCCACAGCAATGAAGGTGCTTTTTCAACCACGGTGAATCTAAAATACCGTGAATTATGCTCGAACTGACAAACCAAGCTTAATTAATTATAAGATCCTTGCTTCTGGAGCCACCAATAGGATATTTCACATTATTCAGTAACACCAATTTTTGGTGGATTTTTTTCTACAAATAACATCTTGAGTACATGTTACACTCACTTTGTGAACGATCTGTGAATAAATTCCCACAGAGGCATTGGAGGTGTGCTTTCAAGCGTGCCGAAAGCGGTCAACCGTGACTTTTCTCACGACATACAAGAACACGCTGACGTAATTCGTTGCTAGGATTTACCCCGAAAATGCCACGAAATGTGCTTCAAAAGAGCCGCAATCGCTTCGCATTTGTGCAAGCTTGTGCACAGATCATGAAAACATAAGTGGAATGCATTTTTTTTAAAGTAACCTTTACAGAGGATGGAACACGCATTTACAAACTGTTCGACACTGTCTAGCACTGTTTTCTACTGATGTCAGTCGTGGCATTGCCTATTAGTTCAAAAATAAGATCCACTTCATCAAGGATTGCTTGTGTGATTGATTTACATTTCAAATGTCAGTTACTAATTTCATGCTTTATAGTTACAGTTAGTAAAATTTTTTTCGCTAGCTGGATGTCCTGAGCCTAGAAACCCCCTCGGTGAATTTTAATAAACAATCCAAACGTCGGTAACTTGATCATTCTTGCGAATGGCGAACCATTATAAAA